AGTGATCTCGATGAGAAGTATTAAAAGCATGAATAATCTAATTGGATTCTCTAAAGATTGGGCTTTATCTTGGTTCAATGTCTCTACAGGAAAAAGGCACGTTTTGACAACCGAGCTCGTTTAATTGTTGGCGTCAAAGCTTTTTCATGAAAGAATAATTGTGGAAGACCAAAGTTTCATTCTAAATGAATCTTTAAAAAAAATCATTTATGTTTGTGCTATGATTTGTAGAATATTAGTTCTGCAGGTTTTGATGTCTTTTTAGGCAATCACTTTAAATTGTGCTGCTCTGATGAACCAAAACAGCTAAATGCATCTGTCTAAACAATAATTTGGGTTGCTTTTCACAAAACACAGTAAAAATCTTTGAATCTGCTGTTCTAGTTTCTCAAACACACACAACTGGACATTGCAGCTTCTCAAAACTTCCCAATTTGGTGAAGCTTTCCTTCAGTATCTGCTTCTATTCAAGGCCAGAGCAAAATGCACAGACACTGTTGTGTTGAACATAAACAGACTGCTGAACGTAAATGCAGCAAAATGATCTGATAAATCACCCCCCCACACACACACGCACACACACACACTACACTTTGGTCCTTTTCTCAAACTCAAGAATTCTTTGTGTTCAGTCTGTTAAACATTAAACTGTTGGAAACTTGACGGCATCTTGCAAAAAAAAAAAAGATTGCAAATCATTTTTTCTGTCCTGTAAGAGGACGTTTATGTAGTTTATGCTGCATTCCCAACTCCCCGCCTAAAAGTTATTACTATTCAGGAGTGGGGTGAGCCCCTCAATAACAACAACAAGAAAATAATGGAAATAAATTCACACAAACTTTAGAGAATAACGACGACTCTGAATGAGACAGCTGTGTGTCGGAAAGGCCAGAGGAAGAAACCCACCCACATTCTTTCTCCTGGGCTCCGTCTTAGGCACGCTCACACTCACAACACAATGGGCTGGTGGGAAGCAATCTCCAGGAACGTGGAGAGTGGGGAAGCTCCATTGTAGGCCACCTGACAGCGCAAAACCAGCAGCTTGATGAAACGACAGCGCCGCTGAGCTCTGAAGGCCGTTAGATATTTTCGTTGATGGCCTGCGCTCCCTGTCCCCCATAATGCCGAGCTTTTCTCCACCATTGTGGGGATCAGGCAGAGGACATGAATGCCATTAAGCGTTGCAGGCAGCGAGGCGGGCGGACACAGACTGATAAGCGTATGTTCGTTTTTATAAGCCACGACTGGCTCAAATGAGCTGCAGAGAAAATTAGGATTTTTTTTTTTTCTGGTCTCTTGCTTCTTATTCCTCTCAGTCACGCTGTTTCTCTTGGTTTTCACTCTGTTCACATGCTCTGATTTTCACAAGGTTAGCTGTGGCGTTTACCTTGCTTCTCCACTAATCTGCTCTGTTTCTCTCCACCTGTACAACCCCCTCCCATCTACTGTCACCTAGCCATTTTTAGTTGCCCCCTTGCATCTTCTTGTACGCTCACTACTCCAAATTTTCCTCGTTTGTCCCTCAGCTGTCTCCTATTAACCTTGTTTAGAGCTCACACCTCCTCCTCCTTTCTCTCAACACATTCTCCTTTCGTTCCCTCTTACATTCTCTATTCCTGGCACCACCTTCTGTTCACACCCTTTCATCCCCACTTTCCTTGCACTTCTTCATCCTACCCTCCTCCTCTCGTCTCTCATCCTCCATCACTTGAGCATTCCCAGGCTGTCTCTCGTCTCATCATTTCGTCCCGCCGTCCTTCCAGCACACTACCCCTCTGATTCATTTTCCTCTTCACAGACGAATGGTGGGAAAATATGGAAATGTCAGCGTGACCAGGCAGGAGATCAGAGAGGTCTATGTTAATATGGCATAGCTGTCATGATACCATTAGCATAATGTGTGTGCGTGTGTGCATGCCCATCATGTGGGAGTTAAAGACATAATGATAGGTGACAGTACTTAGTTGCTGACATCTGACTACCTGAGAAAGTTTAAGAGTGTAGTTTGTGTGAGCATGTTCATTTGTTATGCGTGTCCATGTATTGTCACCTGCAGGCAGGTAAGCTTTTCTAAAGTGGAGCAGTGGTAATACACAGTTTCTGTTCTCACTCTTCTCCCCTCCGATCTGTTTTCTTTTAGTTTTTTTCCAGCCCTCTCTGCGCTGCTGCTCTTTTCACTCTTACCCTTGAACTGTCTTTTATTCGGCAGTTCCCTTCGTTTCTGTCATCTTTCTGTTTAACAGGGCCAAATCTTTCTAAATATTTATACTGACAATTACTCTTTCAAATGTGGCCTTGGTTCAGCATTTCCAACTCTGCATATTTGTGCACGTTTTCCCCCCTTTTCTTTCTGTCTGCTGATTTAATGACAGTTTGAGACTTCAGGATTGGGGTTTTGGGGTTATTTTGAAGGATGAAGCTGTGCTTGTCTCGAGTATAATATTCATTTCCCCGGGGGCTGTAAAAAGTCTGAGGCCAGCCTGTCTTTCATCTGAGCTCTGACAGGAGCTGCTCTGTGTTGGCTCGCCTTTTATTGCATCTGAATGACGGACAACAAACCTGCCCGAGTCCTGCCCCCGCATCCCTGAACACATGTGGATGTTTGTGCATGTCATATTGCATACTTGTATGTGGACGTCGGAGAAGCACGAGTTTTCTAAGAGATGCTGACCTTGACGATGTCAAAGAGACTCTTCACAATCATCAGTAGTAATCAAGAATCTCGGTGACTTCTCATCCCAGTTTTTTCTTTTCTGCTACATAAATTTGTAACCAAATCACAGCTCTTTCTATTTTTATTTTTACAGACCAGTTCAGGTATACTGGCACAAAATCATATCTAATCTTTACAAAATGCTTTTTAAATTAAAGTGATAGTTCAGAACTTTTGAAGTGAGGTTCTGTCAAAATGTACAACAACTAATCTTACTTTTTGTAGACTCTTTGAACAACCTCAGTTTGGAGAAATGGAAGCCAGTCTTCATGCAGACAAGGCTAATCGCTAACCACATGAGAGCCCTTTTTTTATAAATGTTCAGGCTTATAACACAACTATTTCCCACAGACAACATACCAGTGAGAGACTGCTACTCATATTAAACCTCTACACTTTTTGCATATCGTTTTAGTTTGCCATTTTCTCTTCCAAACAACATCCATATTATGTGAATGGGTGTTTTTTGCTCTACAGCTTAAGTAAACTGTGTTGAGTAGAAGTGTAGAGGTTTAATATTGGCTAACATATCTAAAAAAGTTAAGTCCGGTCCTCTGGACATTCAAAAAACAAAACAAAGCAAAACAACAACAAAATTTTAGAAACGTTTCGTCTTTCATCCGAAAGACTTCCTCCGTCTGAGGTGCTGTATTCAGCTCAGTCTTATAAATAGCACCTTCTCTTAGTGGCTCAACCAGTTTGCTACCGACAGCCAAAACCTGCTGCTCACATGATCAAGAATGATCTGGTTTGTAACTTTTTCCTACCTGGATTATTGAGCATGCATCAGGATATTGGCAAACAGTGTTCTTTCAAAATTTTATGTCTTGTTTTTTCCCCCCCAATATTTTGTAATCCCGATAAACCATATAAAACATGCTCTTTTTTTGGGTAGCCATTAGTGCCTGACAAAAGTTTGAGCCTCTTTCTTTGTACTTTATCCTCTGCCAGATGTCATGGCCGATAAGGTAATAACTATTGATAAATATTTGACAGAACGTCACTTAAAAATGACTGAATTATCCTTTTAAGCTGTATGTTGACTTGCACAGAAATGTTCAGTCTGTCTAAAAATGAAAAAACAAAAACTTCTTTTCACTCCAAAGAGGCTCCGTGCTGCTCCCGCAGGCTGATTAGTGGTTGTCCAGAGCTCTCTGTGGCTGCAAGGTGGTTGTAAATTGGGTTGGTCCTGTGAGAGCTGATGTTGTTCTAGGAACGTCTTGTTGTCTTCCAATTTGGCACTCAAGTCTTTCATTCATTCTTCCCTCATCTCTTCCTCTATATTGATATTTCACATCTCTCCAGTGGAGAGAAGGTGGGGTGTTCATTGCTTGTCAAATAAGAGAGACAGCTCTGCCCTTTCCTCTTAGACCTAGGTTTTGTGTGTGTGTGTGTGTGTGTGTGTGTGTGTGTGTGTGTGTGTGTGTGTGTGCGTGCGTTTCAGTTCTCCGGTTCTTTTGGTTTCAACACAACTGCTTTGTTTCATCACAAACAGGTAGAACTAGTTTCGCAGGCACCAATTTTCTCTTAGCTCCTAACACCCTAACTCTTGCATGACATGCTTTATTAATTTCTATAATGTCCACATATGTGTCCAGGTCCTAGGAGGTTGTGGGGGGAAATCGTTTCACTTGAGGTGTTGTAGGTCTTTAGTTTGTCTGCAAACATGTTTTCATCATGAGCCACACAGTTTTACCTGCGAGACATTTAAAAGTTGTGTAACTGCAGATCATCTATTCTTGCTTGAAACTGGTGCCGTCTTGCTGACGTGCACTAATATATGCTTGCTTATTCATACAAGTAATTACATTTTCACAGAGACCTGGATTACGCACACACGGACACACTCGGGAGCAGATTGTCGTTCTGAAACTCCACGTTTACGGCGTATTTCTCACAAACTAAGAAAAGCACATTTATTTTGACTGCTGTTGTAGAGGAATGTGTCGGCACAGCAAATGGCAGGCTATAGAGAAGCTTAGCCCATCCTGATGATTTACGACCCATGTTCAGAAGTGGACTGGTTTTGTCTATTTTCTGCCTTTCTTTCCAGCTACTCCATCCCCACACACACAGTCGTGTAGAGATACCAGACTCTTGGCCTACTTGCCTGGGTTCACTAATGTCCTTTGTTGTACCAGACACCTCCATACTGTCCTCGTTTATCATCAGGTTTATTACCAACATGATTCTTTTCGCCCCCTTTCTCAGTTTTCTTCCCCTGTGAATGAAATGACTGTGGTTAATGTTTTTCTTTCCCCATTTTTTTGTTTTTTGCTCCCTGCAGGAACCTCGGGTCAAAGGGTGAAGGTAGAACCAGAGGTGTTGTCGTATCCAGGCCAGACGGTCAACCTGCGCTGTTCCTTTGCAGATGCCACTGGAGTACAGCTCACAATGGTCAGAAACACATTCTCAAGTTGCATTTGCTTCCTCTTTTTATTCTCAGTGTGTTTTGTATTATCTGTAACACACTTTTATATGAAATCTAAATTGTGTTTGTGATATGAAATTTTCATAAAAATATCTTTAATCAGAAACTTGCAGCTCAAAATGCTGACTTGACTCGAGACGTTTTGTTGAAATTGCTTTTATGGTATGATTTGGTTTACACCTTACCTAAACTAAATGGTTTGTCTGCTTTTCTGTAAAATAAATGATTCGGTTACAATTTGATTTAATTTTAAAGTGCAAATGTTCAATCACGCAGGTAGATGAGAGCAATTTAACAGCGAACAAAGGAATCTCAGTACAGTTGTATACATTTTTTTGCAAATTAAACTTTAATTTAACAAATAATTGTCCATGGAAATCATCCTAAGGCAGGAAATAGTTTTTTTTTTTTATATTAAATGTAGGCTCAATGTTTTATTACACTAAACAAACAATACTTAGCTTCATTTTGCTTCAGGGGTTTGAAAATGTTAAAATGTGCTGCTACTTGCTTGCATTATAATATAGTGAAAGTGAACAACTGCTGTATGCTGAAGATTTTCCGTTATCCAGGTCATGATAAATCCAAAGAAAAGAGTTAAAAAAAACAAAAAAAACCATCTGGACTTCTAGTCTGATGCTGATGTTTAGCTTCCTATCTGGGAGGCTTCATCAAAAAAAAAAAAAAAAAAAAAATCATAAATGTTTTTATTATTTTATTAATAAAGCCTCCTGGATGGGAAATGAAACCCCTTCAGAATAGAAGTCCAGATGTTTCATTATTTTTGTATATTTTTGCCCTTTATTTGGAACAACTTTGTTTGGTTTTACTGAGAACGGCTGAGAAAAAGAAGCTCCTAGAAATGCTCACATCCATATTCATACCTGCTCCACTTAGTTGATTGTGATTCTGCGTGTGCTGCTCGTGAAATTTACTTTAAAATGCGCGTCTTAAAATGTTCCCCAGTGTTGCTTATCAACAACATGATAAATGAGGCCGGTTATCTCTCTTGGCTACTTCATGCCTCCTGACTGCTGACCCTGTACGTGCTCCACCGCAGGTCACGTGGATATACGAGCCAAAGGACGGAGAACGGCAGAACATAGCTGTCTTTCACCCCAACTTCGATCCCAGCTACCCCGACTCACCAGTGAATGGTAGAGTCAGCTTTACACCCAGTCCTCCAAACATGAACACCCCTTCAATCCAGATCACTAATGTCAAACTGTCCGACGAGGGGAAGTACATCTGTGAATATGCAACCTACCCCAGTGGCAACGAGCAAGGCATCACTCAGCTGGTCATGTTGGGTAAGTCCCCAAAACAGTGTTTGTGTGATGTTTAAAAAAAAAAAAAAAAAAGGATCAGAAAAATTGCATTTTAATGAAAATGAGGTGAAAATGAACGTAATTGGAGAAGGAACTGAAAATGAATGTGAAAAGAACTGAACACTATCAAATAGCTACAGGTTAGCCAACACCAAAAAGCATCAAAAGGCTAGCTAAAATCAAAAAGCAGCTCAAGGCTAGCTTAAAGGAGCAAAAAGATTAGCCGAAACCCAAAATATTTTTATTATTTTGACGTTTTTCTTAGGAGTGCCAAGGATGGATAAGATTAGGAATGAGATCATCAGAGGTTGAACAACTGGGAGATAAAGTTAGAGAGACCAGACTGAAATGTTTATATGCCCCAGGGGAGTGGTGGCGCAGAGGTTAGAGAAGATGGGCCAGTGGTTGGAAAGTCACAGGTTCAACTCCCGGTAGCGTCAACATCAAAAATGTGAGTGGAAAAGGTGGAACACTCACACCTGCTTCCACCCTCATTTGCCCCACTCTGGGCCCCTGAGCAAGGCTCTTAACCCCCACCATCTGTTTCCTAATCAGGTCTCTGGAAAATTAGTTCTTGTGACTCATTGAGACTACCTGTATAAATAAAGGGTAAATGGGGGAACCAAAAAAGGTTAGAGCAAAGATGTATGTCTGTTTAACTTTAATTATCCCCCCACCAACTTACAAAGTTCACCCTGTGAGAGAGAGTCTATTTCAGGTGTTTGTATTTTATCATAAATATCTGCAAAATTCAGTTCTACACAGTGTTTTAGCAACAACACGGTTCTGTGGCTGTTTGGATGAGCTAAGCTTGGATTATATTTAGAATCATACTGAGAGGTAACTGTACTGTGATGGATGTAATTTAATAAACAAAAATAAAATGTGAAAAAATCAATAGTATTAAATAACTACATGAGCTGAAATCCAGTAAATATAATCTCTGAATTAAATCATTTTAAGGGATAAATACTGTATGTCAGTCTGGCAAATAAATAAATAAATAAATTAGACTCTGCAAAGAAGTTGGGTACTTATAAAGCTGTTAGAGCCAATACTGTTCAATTACAACCTATGGGAATTTAAATAAAAATCACCAATAATAGCCAGATTGGCAATAAAATTTAAAATAATTACCCATCACTGGCTATGTTTTCTGTACATAAACAAGTTTTTGAAATCCCTTAGGTTAAATAAAAAAAAAAAAAGTAATATTAAATCAAGAGTATTAAATAAAATACAACCCAAAACAATGTGAACAATTTATTTTTATTTTTCAAAGAAAAATTCAACATTATTCGCAAGAGAGCCCTAATAAACATCTGTTAAATTTCCCAGTGATTAGAATAAGTTATTCTGGCATTTTGTTGTTTACAGGTTATTCATTCCATAAAATTAAAACAAATTACAGGTTTTATTAGGTTTAAGTAGAGGAAATGTTTATTGTAAATCAAATATGTCCAACAGGTTTTAGCTCATTAGAATAAACCTGATTAAATTTTTTTTTTGCAGCGTTTCATCCCTAAACCACGCCCATTTTTGCCTATCATTACCATATAACAACTCAGGTTGTTGTCCTAACAAAGTGTTCAAGGTTTGGTAGGAATTAGCATTGTTGTTTTAAATATATAAATCTTTTACTTTTTTAGCTCCCCCTAGAGTTAGGTCATTATAAAAGTCTGGCCACCTGTTCAAAAGAGGAACATGAACATATTATGACTGATGTGTATTAATGCTAAAATTGATAATATATGACCATTTTTATATGATGCTAGCCAACCTAAATATGAATAAACATGACTTTTATTGACTGAAGAAAAAACAAACCATAATAGATCCAAAGGTTTCCATGCTCCAGTGGATGCATGGAAACGCTGCTGCTCTTTCAGCTGCATTCTGTTTCCTTCTCTGACTTGGATCCCTAAAAACAGAACAGTTAACCTACAAATCTACAATAAATCTATACCAAAGTTGTGCAGTTTAAAGCAGGAACTCTGCGTGTCTTCAGCTACAGACTAGAAGTCCAGATGTTTCATCTACACCAACGTGATGGTTATGATGTCGGATCATATCGATACTAGCGTGTAAAGATCTATGCTCGAGTTTTTCTAATTTCACTTCACTCTATTTTAGAAGTGGAAAATCTGTGTCGGAGGAGGCAGGAAGAGACGAGATCAAATGTAAACGTTGAACAAAAGAAGCATGGCAGACAATTTAATCGGTTCCGATTGCACAACAACTTTTAGAATTGATACACACATGCTGACATGAGTAACATCCATATTTACTTCTGTAAACACAGCGTGCTGCGTTTAATGTCATGCATGCATGCGCGTTGCTTTAGGACCATGAACTGTTCCCACTGGAGTCTGAAGGCAGTTGCATTTAAAAAGTAATTAGAACAATCACACAAAATAAATGAAAAATAAATCACATTTCAGGAAAAAAACCCAGTGTTGAACATTAAGACCTGCAGTGTGAACATAGCCATAGTCGAGCTCAAGAGTTTTATTGATAAGCCAGATGTGGAAAGCTTCAAATTTACATTTTTAATTAATGAAGATTTTTTTTAAATGAAAAAGGAAGCAGTCATGTATATTTACACAACAGAATGAGTTTCTATTTAATCAGCGCAGAACAGAATGCTCTAATAAATCATTGTTTTCCTTCATGTGTATTATCTATCGCCTTTTTGTCAGGTACAAAGACTCGAAGCTCAGAATGATCCTCATCAACTTTTTCTTACTGATGTGTTGCTTAAGCTTTTCAGACTTTCATGCATCATCCACAGATTAACAAAAAAATATGGGAAAAATTGGCCAACTGTCCTTATCTGTTTAATTTACTGTCCTTGCCAAAAATGTTTGGTCATGCTCATATTTCCAGCAGAGTTTCCAGACTCTCTGTATCTGTGCCAAGGCAGCTCTTTTTCCCCCCCCCCCCCCCCTTAATTTAAGTCTCCCATCTGGTTATAGCAAACAAATTTACCTCCCAGGCAATATAAGGTATCCACTTTGCTTTTCCCCCTTTCAGCCTGCTCTTACCTCAAAGGTAAAACACAGATTAAAGGCATTTACAGTTTAGCCTAATTGCTACTGTAAGTGATGTCATCAGCCCAGTTTTGTTTTTAATGTTGGGGAGCCATTGGCCTTGCACCCCCAGCAAGTTCTTCATCTTCCTCTTAACTCATCATGCCTGCATGCCTCCCCTCAGGCAGCGTATTGATCAGGCTGCTTGTCATGCCTGCTGTCAGTTCCTGTCTTACCTGCTCTCTACTGATCCAACATGGCTATCAGAGGGGGCAAGGAGAGGAGGGAAGAGGAGAGGAGCTTAAGGAAGCGCTGAGTTGTGATTTAGAATGGTATAAATCTAGATTTTTTTCTACCTGGATTATTGAGCATGCATCAGGTTAAATGGTAGAAATGCAACAGACCAGTCAGAGGAATGTTTTATCAGTGGTGGATAATGACATAGAGGAGATGAATTAAAAAAAATGAAGGAAAGGTGATAAAAGGTTTGAGTTTTAACTTCAATGCTTGTAATCGTTTTTCAGTGAATGATTTGGAAAGGAAAAGACTGACTGGACAGAGTAGGGAAGTGTTGATGAAGGGGGAGGGGACACAGAGGTTGTTTGTTTTGCCAGGCTTGTGACTCACATTGTTTGTCAATAGTAGATAATGCTGCACATTATCTTTTTCCTCAGCTGTCAGTTTTCGTTTTTTTCATTTTATCTATACGCACGTCTCTTAATCTTTGTCACTATTTTTTTGTTTCCATTTCCACCTTTGCATCATTCTATCGATTCATCCATCAGCCAAGCCAAAGAACTCAGCCTCCGTTATAGCGGTGAATGAAAGCACCCAGCAAGTCGTCGTGGCTCGCTGCGAGTCTGCGAATGGTCGCCCCCCTGCTACGATCAGATGGATTACCACAGCGAACGGTGAAGAAAAGACGGCATCCAGGGCGGGGACTGACAACACTGTGACGGTTACCAGCGAGTACTACCTGGTTCCAACATCATCGGACAATGGGAAAGACATCAGCTGCAGTGTGGAGCACAGAACCCAAACCACTCCAGAGAGCATACCGTTAAAGCTAGCTGTTCAATGTAAGAAGCCGCTCACACATCACTGCATTCATAATTTAATTTGGTGTTCAAACACTAATGTGACAGATGCATGCCAGTTTTGAAAGTGAATATTTCATGTTTCTTATCTACCTCCCCCAATTTTCCCTTCTTTCATATGTCATTCCTTTACCATCCCCCAGTTCCCCCTAAGGTGGAGATTAGGGGGTACGACAATAACTGGTACTTGGGCCGTACCAACGCGGTGCTCACCTGTGAGGCTGAAGCAAACCCTGTGGCAACCTTTGTAGAGTGGAAAACGTGAGTATTGGCTCATTGAATTTTTATCATCTTGTCTTTTGCACGCTCACGGTTTTTGTCACACTGCCCCCGTCCCCCTTGTACTCTTCACGCCCGGGCCTGCTGTCATCGTTGAGCTGTAATCAGCGCTTTTATTATTATCAGTACAGAAGTGTGTTCTGATTAGGGAAAGAGCCGTATTATTTGTCATAATGGACTCTGTGACAAGATTTAACCCTTTCATAATGAGAACCACATACTTGGATCAGCTATTCAAACTAATTTTGAAATAAAAACTTTTAAATTGGTGATATTTTAAGCTTGTATCCAACAGTTTTCTTTTTCCTTTATGCCATGGGTGTCCAAAATGCGGCCCGAGGGCCATTTGCAGCCCTTGGAGTGATGTTGTGTGGCTCACAGCTGCAGTTTCAGAATGGTATTTTAGCCAGCAGGCTTAAGAGATCAATGCAGACTTCCTGCAGATTCATTGGTAATCCTTTTTTATATAATTTTTAGGTTTAACAGCAAAATAGATGAAAAACAATCTTCTCAAAATGAGCAATATTAAGCAAAAAACAAACATTGGGCTATAATCTTTTTATTTTCACTTTTGTAGTACAAAGCATCAAAAACCTTTACTGGTTTCTACCAAAAAGGAGACTTTTAGATAATGATTCATAAAACTTGGCTAAATGTTGATCAAATAATCACGATAGAAATTGGACATTTTTAAATGAATATAACGTGGTATCATCTACATAAGAGTTGATCAACTTTATCAAACCTTCTATGAATCTGTTGTAGCGACTGACAGCTGGACGATTTTTCAGAATTTCAGCCTTTTGTGCAGTTCATGGTCCAAAAGACTTATCGACCCCCTTTAAAAGGATACTTACTCAAATTACACTTATTTCTGAGAACAGACTAAAATGAACTTTCCAAACACAATAAAATGACAAACAGACCCAACAAATTAAATAAATCAAATCCTTTTTAATAAAAAATATTAGCTTAGTGTTTATGAGGCTTTAAATATTTTGGATCTCCAACTATTTTAAACTTTCACCACCAAAAATTAGTAAATTTGTCCTTTCTCCAAAATATTGCTCACATTGAGAGTTAAATTCATACTTTATGGCCCACAAGTCCTTTCATCTGTAAAGTTTTGTCCCACATATGAAAACGTGTGGACACCCTTGTATGTCATAATGAATTGCCTTCTGACAAAAGTTGGAAACTATAAAGTTGAGTTGAATTTAACATTGAACAATGCAGGACTTCTCTGTAAATACTCATCTCATTGCATCCACAGACGTCTTTATCTGTTATTTTTCCCATTTCACTTTTTTCCTTCCTCATGCTGATGTGTTGTATTCCTGCAGCATGTCTGGAGTGATGCCAGACACTGTGCTAAGGTCAGGCAATGAGCTGAAGATACTGAAGGTAGACGAGTCCGTCAACACCACTTTTGTTTGTGAGGTCAAGAACCGTATAGGCACCGCCAAAGACCAGGTTGCAGTCTTCGTCAGAGGTGAGCTGCACGACACAAACAAGTGCACACTTTTAGCCGATAAATATGCAACAGCTGCATAAATATATCAGGGGTGGTTTTTACTCTGACAAATAACTACAACATGTGTGCATTAGTTGGAAATAATCAGCTAAAGTGTCGCTTTTATGCACTTTCCTGCAACATAATGAATTGGCGTCACAGATTCACTCATCTGCTTCTCCTAAATTGATTAAAACCAACTCTTGGTGTAATTTGTACAAGTTGCAAATGTCCAAACATGCTGATAAATTATACATGGTGAATGCATGGAAAAAGCGTTGAGATTTTTGGGAGCAAAATGAAACGCACACTTAGTATTCATTCATCATGTAAACGTACCCCAGGCTTGAATACGAAAACATTTACATCCTGATAACTGATGAAGTGGAACCAAGTGCTCTTTCATCACACAAGCCACACATTTCTTGGTGTTTTGTGCTTTTACTACTTCCTCAGGGATCCACCTTGTTTTTTCTCACATTAACAAACACACACACAACATGCACACACACTTTTAGGCTGAGGTTTGTATGGGGTGTCTAGCATAGGGTTAGTGGGTCCAGCTGCTCTGTCCTTGTATGTATTCGGGGATGTGAATGTCTGTCTGAGTCGTTTTGTGTTTAAGCTTTTGAGGGCATTTATATTTTCTCCATCAGCTTTGTATTTTTCTTTCTCTTCTTGTGTGCATGTCACTTTTTTATGTCTCTGCATGCTGTTAATAAGCTGTACTAAGTTTCTATGGCTCAGTAGTGCCCAAGGTCTCTGACGATTTATGCATCTTAAGGCAATTGTACTGAATTTTTCTCACAAAGAATTTAATGGTTTATGTTGGGCTTTAAGATATTTTTAGTCTTTCTTGTTTTTTTTTCCAAACTGAGGGTTATGATCACATGGGCAGAGTGGTTTCTCAGTGGTACACTTGAGCACTAATGATGACAGGAGGGATTACAACAGAGCAAATTAGCTTTGTCTTTAAAACAGAGCACTAAAAGTAAGACTTCAATCACTAGAAGTGATGTCTCACCAAATATGACACTGTTGACTTTGAAATAAGGGGTTTTATGTTTGGGTACATTTGATTTCAATCATACTTGTATTCTTTGGGTGTGCATAACTGCCGGCTTGTCTTTGTGAAATACGTTTGTAAAATTTTATGTATTTAGAAGTTCATCCATGAGTGCGTTTTATAGTACCGTTTTCTTTTGAAGCAGAATTATTCCGAACAGATCTGGTTAGACTGAAAAACGGATCATACTGGCCCCCGAACTCCCTCGATGTTCTCCACGAGTTTAGATGCCCCTTTCAGCAGAGTTCATTCTTGCTTTTTACCTCATACAAAATGCATCTCCTTTCAATCTTCTGTAGCATACTTGCACTTAACCTGAAGTTATTTTTTGCTGACATGTATGTAAAACTTATCCATAATGGTGGGAGAAAGTTATTTTTTTTTCTGGCTACATCTTAAAAGCCACACAGCTCCTTAATGCCATAATTTTTATTCCTATGTCCCCATGCTGACTCCTTATTCTGCATTTTTTTTTTTTTTTTTAAACCTTATTTCTGTCTTCATCTTCCTTTAAGTCCCTTGGCTTTTCATGATACCACAGCATGTGTCACTGCTCCTCTGGGGCAGCTCTGCACTGTTGCATACAGTAGTAGTGTAACAGACCCCTTGTACCACAAAGGATGCAAACATCACCTGCTGTGTTTTACAGTCAGCAAGCAAGGAAGACGCAAAGATACATGGAGCAGGTGGAGCAAGGGAGAGGCTGCTGCTTTTTGGCGACAAAGCCAGGGAGTGTGCACAGAGATAAATCAGTGCCAGCATGCAATCCTTAGTCAGAAAGGGAGAGAGTAAAGACATGAGGGATGGAGGGAGAGAGTGCGATGCTGACAGCATCTAAAACTCCCATGGGAATCTTGTGCCAGTGCATCCTATCTCCGCAGCCATTGGCCTCCGCTATCTTTCAGCGTAGCGTGTGTTTCTGTCACTCTCCAAGCCTCTCAGAGCGGATCAGTCACCCTTTGCTGCTTCAGCTCCTCACTGCTGCTCCTCTCACTTCACCATTCGTTCCTCTCCTGTTTTCATCCCACATTTACCCTCCACTTCCATTTTATTTTACTTTTTCCTTCTTTCTGATCTCATTTTCTGTGGACTCTCTGGTTTCCCTCCCTTGTTGGACCCCCCCCCCCCCCCACACACACACACACACACACACACTTCCCGCCTCCCACTTTCCTTGCCCACATCATCTCCTCAAAGTCTGTGCTCTCTCACTGCCGACCACCTCCTCCTCTCATCCTACTTCGGTCTTACTCATTTGCAAAGGAGGAGGAGGATAAGATGCGAGCTAAATCTGCCGGCAGTTAAGAGGTGACTAAGACGACCGGAAAAATGTCAGAGTGAAACATGATTGTAGAAAGCAGAGGCTGAGAAGTGTGCACAAAAGTAAAACTGTTGAGACAAAGAGGGAAATGGTAGATGATTGTCAAAATGGAGAATAAGGAAGATGTGGAGTGACTCCAGATGGGGATGTGATTCAGACCTACAGAGACTAATGGGAATGTGTGTAGACAAACAGGGCTAAGAGGGGCCGACAGGCGTGAAATGGTCAGCACCTGCTACATGGCATGTCCCCCACTCCTTTTTACCCTACAGCTGCATGACACACAAACATGAGTCTACTCACCAGTGTGTCTGCTTACTCCAGTTTTCCGCCCTCAGTCGTGCCCTGCACACACGGGGCAGAGAGAGGGGTGGGTGTCCTCTCTTCTCCTTGCCTCTCCTCCTCTCGTCTTCGATCCTGTTGCTTAGTCATATACACAAACCTTCTTCTCTTTCTTTCCTTTTATCGCTCCCTCGCTATCTGGCTGGAGTTTGCTCTTTTCTCTGCATCTTTCATCCTCTCAGCATATGCTCTTTCCTCAACCCACTTATCTCTCAGGTTGTCTTTCAGCCTCCGCGAGCACGATGCTGATCTCCCTGCTTGGAGAAAAACGCTTTTGCCCCCAGCATCCACTGCTCATCCTCATGGCCATGCCATCTTCTCTTTTTTGGATTAACTCCTAAATAGCAGCAGTTCTTTCTTTATCACAGCTTAGTAGTCTCCATCCTTTCATTTATCCCTCTAGTCTAGGTTTCCCTTGGGGGGAGTCTTGTGTGCCTAACCCAGATTCCTTCCATCTTTTTTCTCCCTTCTTGACTGTTCTAAAAGGGGCAACTCAACTGAACCTCAAAAAAACTTAAATGCCCTGGATTGAGTCCCCCCCCCCCCCCCCCCCCCGTGTGGTCTTCAATTGAACAGAAAAGAGATTTCCTTTCAGTTTGGTGCAATACAGCCATTTTCTGACTCATTTAAGGAGACAGTTCAAGGGCAAGGGGCTAGGCTGTTGTCCTACTGGGTTTGGGAGTGGGTGTGTGTTTGTGCACGAGTCTGCCTGCGTCTGTCAGTGTGCGTCTCTAGCCATGCGAAAACGGCCAAAGCTCAGGTCTGATGGAGCCAAGTCTCCCTGCAGGCTTGCCCCCCCCCCACCCCCCACCCCTCATTAGCATACACATGCACCAACATTTGTGCTGCAGACACATGCAGGTCTGTTCAATCACTTGACATCCCGAAAGAGAATCCTGCGATGCGAAGCTCCACGTGCAGTCCAGCCCAGCTTCAGATCGCTGATGACCGTAATGGTGTGGGAGCGTGTGCGACTGCGACCATGCATTATTTTGGGAGGCTGCAGTGAATTTTACTTTCGCTCCATTGCTTTCATTACTCGCGGTCATTTGAATCTTATAGTCTTCTTGGATGTGTCTTCATAAGAAGCATGCTGCATTTTGGCTTCTACAGTATGCTGTCTGTGTTTTGGGGAAACTGGGAAGAATTACTTCATGCTATTATTCATCTCTGGGTTTCATTTATTTATTTGTTATTCACACAGCTTGCTTATTGCTTTCTTTCTGCTGGCTTCTGTAGCAGCATGTGTTTATAAAATGCTCTGTCCTTACCCACTTAAAGGAGTTTCAAGGCTTCTTGGTTGGGTGTCTGAGCCTCCACAGGGAGCTTGGCGTGACTCCCTTTTTAATCTTTTAAGGGGGGTATAAAACATGAATTATCCACAAAAGAGTTTACCAGCACATACTTTGAGAAAGTTACTGAAGTGACTTGTGCGGTACATTAAAAATAATTGGATGAGCTGTACTTTAGGAAAATTTGCATTTAAATTTTTGTGCGGATCCCTTTGATGGGATGGAAATATGTAGCAGCATCAGGCTCAAAGTTTGCACAGGGATTGTTGCCACGCTGCGTGTGATGGAGCGCCACAGAGCCCGAGGTGATAATGCATTTCTCATGTTCCTGTTGCAAGTGGACACTGAGTCCTTGCTCTCACTCTCATGTCTGTGAATAGGACTGTTTAGCACAGCATACCAGGCGAGAGAGTCTGTGTGCTTTGGGAGAACCGAGGAAGAAAACCTACGAAAGAAGAAATAAAAATGTATCTATCATTATTAATTCTTTCCCTGGGCATATGTTCCATAAAAAGGGGCTGAGAAAAGTAGCATAAGACAGAAGTACAAATGTAAATTGGAGCGGTGACAGGGAAAATGGATTTAGAGCTGCAGAGTGCATGCAGGAGACAGCTGGTGAAGTGGAGGCAGAGATGGAGAAGTAGAGAAGAGGCAGAGGAGGAAAAGAGCAGAGCCCAGGTATACACAGCAACAGACAAGAATCATTGTTACAAGAGTAATTCTGTCGGCTTGGTGCACACCTAACAAGAACAAGGCTTCTAGGATTTCAAATGGGAATGACAATATGAATTAGGCTCATTTGCTGCTTTCAGATTTTAAGCAGGGATTTACTTCTCTGGATGTCTAGTGAACGTACTATAACAACCGAGAGGTTTTGCATTTCAAAAAGTTAATCACTTTAAAACTGGGGACAAAAATTAACGATGTATTTAACTGTGGTGATTAGATTTTTATACGGTAGGACAAATGGTCAAACCTGAGGTTATCTTGAATACTTTGGAGTGGAAAGATAATCTGTTTTGTTTGCTTGTAGGTTTATTGTGTGAGCTTCATGCTTTCAGCTCAAACATCAGGTGTAGGGGGCTTCCAGTGGCAGATTATTTCTGAGAGCAAAGGCAGGGTAAATGAAAATGCTCTGCCTAGCAAACGCAGAAAGGCTTTCTGATGTAATACAAATAGTCGGGAGACAAACAGATTTTGAGAAAAGCAGCAACAGAGAAGCTCTGATCAGCAGGAGCTGTATGTATACGATGGTACGATGAGGAAGATGAAAGGAGAAAGAATGCAACGTGGGAATGTTAATAAATAGAGACAGTAGAACTAAAACGAGCTGTATATAAGGAAAGCGTTTTGAAGATGGAAGCCAGTTGAATGCGGGGTTCCCTCTGCTCAGTCTGAGCACTCGAATAAACAATTCCTGGACCACGACTTGTCTTCTCTCCTCCTAAAAATTTCAACATCATACTCAAACTTTGCTCCATAACTTGATGTTCTGCAACATTGTGCTTTGCTGAAAGATTAATATTTCAATTGCAATTAAAGAATCTTGCAGCATGGTAACCCAAATGCTTTGAATCCTTTAAAAGTGGAAATGATATACAGAGGATCCATTTCTTTTCAAAGAGTAGGCATACTCTTTAAATCTCCAAAGATGACTTGTTGCTATAGAAACAATTTATGATATAAAATCTAAGCAGTCTTTTTAATGTATTCATCTTTTCTGTTGAAGTTAACTTGTTTGTTATATTGTCTATGTACTGTCAGGCAGTGCAACTAAAGCCAAATAGAGGGCATTTTTCTTCCAAGTGCTTTGCACAACGTCAACTGGAAGCATTAATTCTGTCAGTGGTCCTGCCAAACCCCAGGCCCAATCTTTTATAGATGTGACCACAGTAAGGAAAACAGTCACAGATTCACTTTATGGGCTGTTGTCAGAATCCTCAAACAACATTAAAGTCATGACCTCAACAAAAGCCTCCACAAAGCTGTACTGTTTCTAATGTAATGCAATTAATGTATTTGGGATAATGTTTCTTGTAGCTTTACTAAGAGTGTCTTTATTAAGTTAACAGGAACTCCAAGCGGGCAGTTAACATTTGACCTTGATTTAATTTACTTTTTTTACCCTTAACTTTAGCATTCAAATGTGTTTTTGTAGGAAAGCATATTTCTGTTTCCATAAATCAGGCATGTTAGGCATGTTTTCACCAAAAAGTGTTAAATTTAACCAATACTCGGTCTTAATTAGCTTTTTCCTGGTCCACAGAAGCAAAAATTGCTCTTTGAATACTTTGTTAAAATGCTAAAGCTGAGATAAAATACAACACAAATAAGGGGATCAAGGGAGTGGAAAGAGACGTACAGCAAACAAGTCATGTGGGACTTTTTCGCAGCCCTCATTTAGACTCAACTTCTTCATCCCATGAGTTTTTTTCAGAGACACACAAATAGTTGCACTGTGTGATAGAGTCCTAGTTTTGCTTGAATCAGCTCAGTTTGTACTCTAACAAAGCCATTAAATGAACTTTATATGTTCATGCGTGAATGTGGAGCAAGGCAGTTGGGACTTTTGTGATGCTAAAATAAAAATGAATCTACATCGAACCAGTGTACGGTCCAGTACCAGAAGATGGTGTGTGTCCAGTGTGTTACCACTCGCCTCTGCTTTGCATTCATCGCTTTCAGGAAGAGTTGTCATTTTATTGCTCGTTCAGGTCACCAACTACCGCACTCCTCCTCCTCATCCAATTCCACCTTCCTCCATATCGTCCTGCTCGTTTGCATGGCTTCCACTTGTTCTGCAACCAACCTGCCGCTCTTTACCTCGACCAAAAGTTTGTGCATGTTTGTGTGGCTTGAATGCCCCCTTCCGCACTTTGCGTTATGATTTGTGGTGGGCCTTGAACAGACCCTGACTGTCGAAGGGTTGCCAGGTGGGGGAGTGTGGCTGGTACTGTGGTAAAAGGGGACAGGAGCAGCCAACAGGGAGGAGTGGAGCTGTCAGTGTAGGAGGAAGCTCAACACACGCTCACAAATGCCTCAAAACTCTTACACACTTGACTTAATGAAGTTCTCACTAGCATCACTTACATCTTCCAACCTCTTTCTTTTTTCCATTTTCTTACTGCTCTTTTTCTACTGTCTCTTTTGGTGTCTTATTGTTTCTCTCAACAATTTCTTTTCCTTCCATTTTCTCCCCCTCCGTCTTTCCTCCCTCCCACAGAGCCGTCACCAGACCCATCCAATGCCGGCGTGGTGGCAGCCGTTGTTGTATGCTCCCTGCTGTTGATCCTTTTGGTGGCTGCCCTCATTGCTGCGTTCATCACCCTTAGGCGCAGGCAGCAGCAGGGTTACCGAGCCAAAGGCGGCAGTGACATGAAGACGCGCATTTTCGGTGGCGGTAAGAAAGCAAGCAAGAACGGAACAGGCGGAGGAGCGGGGAGCGGAGGCGTCTCAGGTGGTAACAACAACGGCCCCATCTACATTTACAATGAGAGCTCGACCCACCAAGGCATCGGAGAGAAAAACAACCACCACCAGCCACTCACCATGGGGAGCCAGCCTGAACATGTTGCCAAAACACCCACCGCCCAAGACATCCTGCTGAGCAACGAATTGGACGAAGCGGAGAGGAGGAAGTTTGATGAAATGGAGGAGGAGGAGAGGTATGACCACTTCTCTGGGGGGAGCTCGATCCTTCAACTACGCCCGCCTCATGATCAGGACGATATGATTGGAGATTACCTGGATGATGACATGGAATCCCAGCGGGATGGGTCGGTCATCTCTCGGACTGCCGTCTACGTATAGAGAAGGTGGATGAGAGATAAAGGAGGAGGCGGCTAATGGAAAAGCAGGCTTGAGAATTCCTCAAGGATTTGTCATCTTTAAGAAATAGAGAAAAGGAAAATAAATACAACTTTATTTTTTTTTTCAAATTGATTTTAAATATACCCCATTATGAATTACACGTTGGCCCCACAGTGAACTGGATTGACGAGGCATGTGGAATAATTTAGAAGCAGTGTCGCGGTTCTTAAGAACTGAAACTCAGAGGAAAAAAAAGAACAACCTTTCTCCCACTGCTTCTGCTCATGCTTTCTCCATTACTGGGACCTTGACTTTTAACAGACTGAACGAGAAAATCCATGTGAGTGTAGGATGAGATGATCATAATGCAAGCTCTCCTATACAGACATCTCACTTGCATATTCATTCTTAGCTTCACTTTAAAAAAACAAAAGGCTTGTCTTGCAGTTACATGTTGCCTCCACGTCTCCGTCCTCCAGTGGGAAGGCTTTTGTTTTGGTAATGCGTCGTGCTGTGACATCTGCTGTGTTGGTGTGGCTTTAAATCAGACATCAAGTGTATTGGAAAATTCAAGCTATGTATTTTTTTTTTACCCTGCTCTCTGCCTTATTTGAAAGCTATAAAAATCTCTGCAGATTCTCAACAGAACCACTAGAATTGAACTGAGTGAAGAAATCTTATTTATTATTTGTCGACGCTTCACAAATACAAAAGCAGGCGAATTTTAAAAAAGTAAGTTTGCAGAAAGTTAAAAAACTGCTTCCTCATTACGTGGCAAACTTTATTTATTTTTTTGTGCCTGGAGGATAGAGACTGTGAACAAGCGATTGAGGAATGAGGTGTAGCTGATCTGACGGGGTCAAGGGATGAAGAGGAAGATGCAGGAGGGCTGGTGATGAACACGTCTCTTCCTCTCACTTCCTCCTCATCCTCATCTCTTCAGAGCGCTCCTGACAGGAGGAGCTTGATTGGTAATGAGCCGTGAAGTTGCTCGCTTAGCTGGGACCAACAGATTGCCACCTCTTATCGTTTATGACGTTTCTTTTCCCTCCTCCCCTTTTTTATTTCGCCATCAGCCCCTCTCCCTCCATCTTCACCCTTCTCTCCGAGTGTTTATGGGAAGTTTTGATTTATCCGGGGCAGTGTTGAGGTCAGGGCCAACCAAGAGCGGGGCAGTATTTTACTGTGGATGATGCGTCAAATGCCCCACTTGCTCGACTTCAGCTTGCCCTGATATATCGGGACAAAGCAATCCACCTGGAGTGGCCGCCTTCACTCCACCGCTGCCCCCCTTGAGACCCCCACCCTCTCCCACACTTTAGTAAATGGCCGGATGTAACAGAACCTCACCTCCATAGTGCAGTGGCGTTACGGAAGACGAATTTTCAATGAGGATCATATATTTCCTTCCATTAGCAGACGTTGGCTGTAGTGAATTGATTAGAAGACATAAAAAGGTTGGATATTGACTAACTGGGCAACATGTGGCGAAATGACCCTTTATTATGCAGGTCCAGGGCTGATTGTCTTCTGACTGTTAATTTATCCTTTTAACGAGCCACTCGAGGTTCTTTCTTTGGCAAATATGACTCTGTGTCTTCTGCACACTGCTGTGTTTGAGTTTCAGTGCACATTTGAGTACCTGGACAATTGTGGAGGAAGAACTCTCATAAACATGCCTTTTTCAGCCTCCTAATCGACTCCACCTTTGACCCACCCCCATAAGGGAATCACCCAAGCGTAGTCTTGGCTGGCTTCAGTAAGGCCAGCAAAGATCTGGATTGATGTTTGCTGCAGGTCATGGAGTCAAAAACAAGTTGACTCGTCACCAAGGGCAAAGATGATTATGCTTGCATGCATTTCTTATGACTTTTTAACCTTGACCTATCGATGTAAGAGGATACACACCTCGTATCTGTGTTTTGCCATTGTTACGGCTGTTAACCTTCATACAGGCGGAGAGGGAGAACAGGAAAAACGCAGGAGGCAAATGACAAAAATAGAGTCAGCATTTAGTGTTTGAGCTCCGTCTGGCATGTTGTAAGCCAGCGTGTTCAATAGGATTATCATCTAATGGCCTTAGTTTGTACATAAATGCAAGTCCTGTCAACCTGGGGTAAAGTAAATGTACTGAACACAGCTGATTTGTCACAACCACTCAATATGACAATGTATTACTTATTTTTGCACTTGGGTTTGTCACGGCTTCAAAGTAAAATATGAGTGAAACACTTTGTTTCTTTGGGAATAAATATAGTCGTGGGGCAAACACACTTTTATGTACTTTTCGGTGTGAGGTATCTGTGTATTATATATGTAATCATCTATATTTTTCTTGTGAAAATGTGGATATTTATGAAAATGTAAATATCAGATTGACGGAGCCAGTGTTTCTAGGAACACAGAGGAAGGTGTTCTTTGCTCGGCTTAGCCTGAAGTTCAGATGTCACAAAGGGCATTCAGAATGTAACGTTTAACCTCAGTAGTTTGGATTTTACAGCATGAACTCAACTGGCTGAGCTTTACTTTAAGACTAAAACTGATCTGAAGTAAAACAACAAATATATCCAGTTATTTTTAATCGTTTGTTTTTACATGTTAAGAATAAGCACACATTTATTCATAGGCAAATAGTTTTATCCCCCCTTTTTTTGATGGGTTCTTTGCACAGGGCAAAAATAAACAGTTTATCCAGTCTACCTTAACCATACAAGCAAGAATCTGTGGCGTCTGAGTCAGCTCTGTGTGTTCAGTAGTTAGTCGGTGTGCGCTTTGGTGACGCTCTCAGGCTTTTGTGACATTTCTTTCTGTCATTTGGGGCTGTAACCTGAGTAGCCGCTCTCTGTCATCGTTAAAAAGTGTCAAACTGCAGATATTATTGTGCATTTGAAAGACGCACTCACTTGCACACACGTACTGTAACCTATACATTCGGAGAGTGCAGAGAAACATTCGCCCACACACAAACACCCCTCAGTCGCTCTCATTATGCTCACTCCCACAGCCAAACTGTGCAGCAGACACCTCATACCTGACAACTCTGCCATCTTCTGACATAAGCCCACACAAAAGTGCTCGCATAGCTGCACAGACTCAAAAAAAAAAAAAAAAAAAAAAAAAACTTGTACAAAAATGTTTTTTTCACCTTTTATTGCTCGGTGGCTGTGTCAGATACGGTGTCCTATCATTATGAAACCCGCTCACAAATTGGTGTCCATGCAGAACCGAGACAACTGCTCGTTCAGGGGTGCACACGCCTTTCAGTCTGTGTCAGAGAAGCTCACCTTTTTTTTTATTTTACAAAAGCATTTATCCGTTTTGCTTTTGTTCCCTGCGGAAATATAGCTTTCGCAAAAATGCCACCGTGCTGACCTCCTCGTCGTCCCTGATGCTTTCAGGGGAGACGCTCATCCTGCTTGCGTTGTTTTCAACTTCTTGGCCACCTCTGCTGTGGTGACCACCTCCACAAACGCTAAGAAAGGCTTGTCAGACAAAAACGCTTTTAGAGAACCCTGTAATTCTGGCCCAAGTCGAGCACAAGGTTATAGTCTGCATAGGAAATTCTTTTTTATATCTTCAGAAAGCCACATGCTCTTGCTGCTTGTTTGGCTCCAGACATCTGATGACAACTCAAAGCCTTAACATCTTCCATCTCACTCACATACCAGGAAAAAAAACCAAGCGAAAACCTTCCGGTGTAGATAGTATAAATATATAAATATGTAGCAGAGAAAAAGAATTACTAATTTATGGTGTCACGTTTGTGTATTACTTTGTGACAGCAAGCATGAAGGATTTATTTTCCTCTATTATAGTCTCTCTTCTCTTCTGTTATTTTGCAGTGCTTTATAATTTATGTTTTCGGAGTGCTTTATTCTTGACTGCTGCGCTGTGATTGCTGCCAAAACTGGCAAATTTGCGTCTTCTGTACAAGTGAACTGTATACACACACACTTGCACACTCACGTGCACACTACAAACCAGTCTTAACCCAAAATGTGCTTTTAGTATTGCTCTATGTACAAAACTTTTGTCTTTTTGTATTTTTTTTTTATTTGATTTAATTTTTGTCTTAAAATGAAGTAGAAATGTTGTCGCAATTTTGTCATGTCTTTCTATTTTTTTTTCATATTTGGTTGATTATTAAAGACTTCTTGATTTTTGAAATGTTGTGTTTACCTCCTTTGTTCCCCCTTTGCCTCCAACGTTTGAGGTTACAAGGATGACTGATAAGTAGGCCTGTCGCAATAAACAAATCAATTAATCGCATGATAAATTAAAATTATCAACCTCATTTTCATTTATTGGCTTTATCATTTTTTTCTCCTTCTTTCTTCACTAAAAGCAGCTAAGCTGAGAAGCTAAGCTACGAGCTAAACTAACAGGCTGACCTCAGGGAAAAAAACTTCAGTCTTTTTGAAGTTTCAAAATTCACGGTTGAAACCCGTGCCTTCATGTAAAAAGTTTCTCTGCAAAAAGAAGCTGAGAACTTGTTTACCGATTTTTTTTTAATTAAAAGCTTCATGTGAAAAATGCTATGCTAAAGAGCTCAAACCACATGGAGCGTTCACCATTTTGTGAACCGAAAACGAGGAAGGAGAGACGGCCCATGCCTCAAGGCGCTTCCCTCCCATTTTTCTTAAAGACATGCTGCTCACTCTCACTATCCATCCTTCAGTTCAGACAGTCTTGTACTGTCATCCAGTGGTCAAAAAGATACTACACGCAAAATAAATTAACCAACATTTTTTCTTAAATTTTACAATAATTCCTAATTGTCAAATTTCAAACAATATTATCGTTTATTGCAATAATTTTTGAAACAATTGCCCAGTAAAATTGATTGTGATAGACTTACTGATAAGCCAAATTGAATAGAAGCACCACTTCAAGATTCTTTGTCATTCGCATCGCATGTGGTACATGAGGTGGAGCAAAATTGTGTACAGGGTCCCAGTTGCACCCACCAATAGCAAAAAAAAAAAAAAAAAGGGGGTAAAGAAACAGGAACTTATTTATAGATTAACTGATCAGGATATAAAATTTCCCCTCTCTCTCTCTGTTCAGCTAACTATCCAGATCTTGTTTTTTTTTTTTTTAACCTAATTTCCTGGTCTGGATGTTTATCTGGTTTCACTTTTGATAAACAGACGTGTGTCAACAGAAGTGTGATAACAGGCTTCTGGGAAATCCCAGCTCAGGAGTTTGAGAAGCCATTTTGCAGAATAAATTTGTCCTGTTCTCCTTCTAGCCTCTCGGTGCTGCACATCTGTTCTGGCTGGTGGAAGTAAACTTGCTGCCTTGGTAATGGCCAAGTTAAATATGCTGTGTTGTTTCAAAGAGCTCAGATCTCCGTCAGGTTTCTCACCTAAACGTGTGGATAATTAGAAGTGATGAAAGCACACGTGCACTTATTTCGAGATGAATAAATGTTATTGCATTCTATGCCCCCCTCCCCCTGGATATAGCTTGTGAACCA